CGTTCGTGAGCGCCATGAAGTCTTTTAAGTTTTTCTTGTGTGCGTCAGAGGATTTTCGTGTTGCTTTATGTATGTCGTTGTGTTGATATAAGCTACTTCAAACCATCACATCACTGAAGACGAAGAAGACTGCGAAGATTTCCGTGCTATCATTCATTCAGTCGAACATTAGCTTTCACTGATATAATGGTAGCCAATCACTTTGTGTGCCCGTAGTTGTCGTCGTGGCGATCCGAGTAAATAACTGGTTCTCCAGTTGAAAGTGTGCACAGTCCAACTCCTTTTAATCTGCTCTAACAGAAAACTAAAATTCCCATGTAATATGTTCGACTTTCATTGACAAAATGAGCAGACTTTTCAGCTTCGTACATGGCGAAATCATTCTACACTCCATTTCTCGTCCTGCCTTCATCAAAAGCAGACATGAATATGGATTCAAAAACAAAGACCAACTGCAGGCCATGTCATTCCCTTTTTTCAAATATGGACAAATCCGTAGAATATGCTTTATATATCAGATATGTGTTCCAAAGAAGCCTTCAAAATGAACGATTGATTAAACCGAAACTGACAAAATAGACACAAAAAGACAACATGATTTGAGATAAGAACAACGCGTAGAGTCACGTAGTCAACATGAAAAGAAGCAGACTAAATTATCCGAAATGAACATGAGAATGAGTTCGTGACAAACAGTGACAATCGAACAAGCTGTTGACAAAATATGGGAATTGTTCTGTGCATCGATTGTCATGATGATGTGTGAATTTAAGTGGGATAGGAAGAATTGCTGGTTCGTGGCAGATCTCGTTGTTTGGCATTCCACCAGCCGCTAGTCACAGTTACTTACAACATCTAGAGAACACAAGAATAATTTCAAAAAGACTTTCGGGCATGACGGCACCTACAGAGATATTAGTCTTCTACAGGTCAGCAAATTAGATGTGTGTCTGGGAAGACCGACCTTCGCCGACAGAGAAGAGATCGACCAAGAGAAAACAGCAATGGAGATGTAAAACGCTGCACATATTACTGCTGCTAAACCTTCATCTCTGATAGTGCCAAAGGCTACTGATCCCACCTGTGAGCTTTTGAAACGTGATGGGCGACTGTCTACGGTGGCTCAATATGCTTGTAAAATAATGATGATTATGTGGGGTTTAGATTACAGTTACGAAATAGGAAGTGGAGTTAGAGACATCTCAAATAGCCCTAAATGAATGGTTAAATTTAACTAGTGTGAGCAAATATATTATTTCGCCTTTCATTGGCTTTCAGATAAGCTGGATTTCATCCACTTTTGACACGATAGAAGGCACGCCTGCATCAGTAAATGATGTTGTAGCGGTAGCATATTCCCCTAAATTATTGGCCACAGCACACATCACTGAACATTGGATGTTGGCTCGCGTGGTTAAACACAACTTATTTAGCTGAAGGCATTCGGTTAGGCATCTACGCCATTTGGATAAGTTTAACTTCCCCTAATTGAGTTATACCTTGCTCGGGGAGACTGGCTTCGATTGCATGGACAGATTTATTATCTGAATCAACACCATTGACAAAGTCATTTGAGAGAGATTCCAAATATCTTTCAAGATTATGACCTAACGCTAGGCAAGCAGTGTGCAAAATAATGAGAGCGCCCGACAGCCACACACACAATGAAATCTGATGGAGTCTACAACAAGTGGCTGGCAACCTATATGATGAAGCACACAGATAATAACCACACATTCATTGATTTCTAATAGCTTGATTTTTGCTGTTATCGATGTTTTAACCTTATTATGACTAATCCCAATTCAGAGGGAGGTTTCCATTCCACTCTATAACCATGTCTCTTCACTACATTTGTGCTGGATATTTGTTAGCAATTTTGACCCGAAATAACATCTGGGAGGCAATCCGTCGATCTTATATGGTTTAACATTCAGGCCTCACTGAAAAATGACTTTCAGTGTGCAATGAACAAATAAATGCAGGCAGAGATCCGAGGCTCATCGCTACAGAAACATCAGTTTTGCGGTAACAGAGAATGACAGTGACAGCTGACTGACAGAAGTAAATAGTGAGCTGAAGGATTTTCTCTTTGACAACAATTCCATTTCGTCGAAAACTCGCATGTTGTTCAATGTATAGAGCCAAGGAAGTCCTAAAAGAAGTAGTAATATTATTTAGTATACGAATTAAGGAGAGCTCTAACCTTTAGTAAAATAACTCTCGACATTCGAAGATTGTGTAACATACCTATGGATGCATATACTGTAACTCCGTCTTCAGACGTGTTTCTTGTTCTGTGTGATCAACTTTGGTATCTGATATCTGTGTACGGATATTCTGTTTTCCCTAACTCAGAGGCGAATATTGAAAAGCAAACGCCAAAGCGACTTCATATTTGAGAAAATCACAAAGGAAATAGTTCGAGAAACTGGATGCCACATACAAAAATGCCAGACTAGAATATGCTTGAGAACAAATCAGCGAACGAATTTCTGCTGACAAAAATGGGACACAAGATTAATAGCAATGAATAACTTTGAATGTTTCAAATCGTTGACAGGATGTTTCGATGAATATTCGGCAGATCAATGCATGCACAAATAGAGCCGAATCCATTGCAATTAAACTAAAGAGAACGTGAACTTACGTGTTGTGGTAGCTGAAATTGATTTTATAGAGACTGTTTACTTGCATGAAATCACTGATTGTGGATTTTTTAAAATTATGTTGGTTTCTTCATTTTCACAGGTATTTGGTGTCCTCAAGTATTGGTTTCTATAGGGATTTTATTTTGTTGGGTGGGGAGTTTCATCATGAGCTGACATCAGTTAGAGAAATACTGGAAAACCTTGGACTACTGGACAGCTCTTTCGTCCTAGCTTCAGGCTCTTTAGCTGCACACTGTACCAATGCTTGGAAATTATTCTGATGCTCAATAGCGACTGGCTTTATTGAGGTAGTGACCTGAGGTATTAGTGGGAAGCCATGATCAGTAGGGTACAGCAAATGGAAGGTGAAGCAGTAACTCATCGACACAAGTGAGATTTCCTCCTCCATCGCCACAATGTTAGCCATCCGTGCTGAGTAGTAGTTGTCAATGAAAATATCCCTACTCGAGTAGGTAAGGTCTGTTGTTGTGAAGAGTTGGAATGCACATTATGCGTCCTACTACAAGCTTGTACAATTTGTGACGTGTAAAGCGAACATTGTCAAAAGGAAAGGAGATCGTTATAATTGGTTGTGGTAAATTCTTGCAACTTCGCTTTGAAACAGCTCCTCACCACATAGTGTAGTCTCATGCGTGCATTGTTCGATAGGCGCGATTCAGATGGAAAATACTTACCGAGATTGACAGAAGAGTGCATGGCGTCACAGTCAGCACAGATTGAGAGGGCAGAGCAACACAGAATTCATGAAAATGTTATTCTTGGGCTAGGGATCGCTCTAACCTTTAGTAAAATAACTCTCGACATTCGAAGATTGTGTAACATACCTATGGATGCATATACTGTAACTCCGTCTTCAGACGTGTTTCTTGTTCTGTGTGATCAACTTTGGTATCTGATATCTGTGTACGGATATTCTGTTTTCCCTAACTCAGAGGCGAATATTGAAAAGCAAACGCCAAAGCGACTTCATATTTGAGAAAATCACAAAGGAAATAGTTCGAGAAACTGGATGCCACATACAAAAATGCCAGACTAGAATATGCTTGAGAACAAATCAGCGAACGAATTTCTGCTGACAAAAATGGGACACAAGATTAATAGCAATGAATAACTTTGAATGTTTCAAATCGTTGACAGGATGTTTCGATGAATATTCGGCAGATCAATGCATGCACAAATAGAGCCGAATCCATTGCAATTAAACTAAAGAGAACGTGAACTTACGTGTTGTGGTAGCTGAAATTGATTTTATAGAGACTGTTTACTTGCATGAAATCACTGATTGTGGATTTTTTAAAATTATGTTGGTTTCTTCATTTTCACAGGTATTTGGTGTCCTCAAGTATTGGTTTCTATAGGGATTTTATTTTGTTGGGTGGGGAGTTTCATCATGAGCTGACATCAGTTAGAGAAATACTGGAAAACCTTGGACTACTGGACAGCTCTTTCGTCCTAGCTTCAGGCTCTTTAGCTGCACACTGTACCAATGCTTGGAAATTATTCTAATGCTCAATAGCGACTGGCTTTATTGAGGTAGTGACCTGAGGTATTAGTGGGAAGCCATGATCAGTAGGGTACAGCAAATGGAAGGTGAAGCAGTAACTCATCGACACAAGTGAGATTTCCTCCTCCATCGCCACAATGTTAGCCATCCGTGCTGAGTAGTAGTTGTCAATGAAAATATCCCTACTCGAGTAGGTAAGGTCTGTTGTTGTGAAGAGTTGGAATGCACATTATGCGTCCTACTACAAGCTTGTACAATTTGTGATGTGTAAAGCGAACATTGTCAAAAGGAAAGGAGATCGTTATAATTGGTTGTGGTAAATTCTTGCAACTTCGCTTTGAAACAGCTCCTCACCACATAGTGTAGTCTCATGCGTGCATTGTTCGATAGGCGCGATTCAGATGGAAAATACTCACCGAGCTCGACAGGAGAGTGCATGGCGTCACAGTGAGCACAGATTGAGAGGGCAGAGCAACACAGAATTCATGAAAATGTTATTCTTGGGCTAGGGATCGCTCTAACCTTTAGTAAAATAACTCTCGACATTCGAAGATTGTGTAACATACCTATGGATGCATATACTGTAACTCCGTCTTCAGACGTGTTTCTTGTTCTGTGTGATCAACTTTGGTATCTGATATCTGTGTACGGATATTCTGTTTTCCCTAACTCAGAGGCGAATATTGAAAAGCAAACGCCAAAGCGACTTCATATTTGAGAAAATCACAAAGGAAATAGTTCGAGAAACTGGATGCCACATACAAAAATGCCAGACTAGAATATGCTTGAGAACAAATCAGCGAACGAATTTCTGCTGACAAAAATGGGACACAAGATTAATAGCAATGAATAACTTTGAATGTTTCAAATCGTTGACAGGATGTTTCGATGAATATTCGGCAGATCAATGCATGCACAAATAGAGCCGAATCCATTGCAATTAAACTAAAGAGAACGTGAACTTACGTGTTGTGGTAGCTGAAATTGATTTTATAGAGACTGTTTACTTGCATGAAATCACTGATTGTGGATTTTTTAAAATTATGTTGGTTTCTTCATTTTCACAGGTATTTGGTGTCCTCAAGTATTGGTTTCTATAGGGATTTTATTTTGTTGGGTGGGGAGTTTCATCATGAGCTGACATCAGTTAGAGAAATACTGGAAAACCTTGGACTACTGGACAGCTCTTTCGTCCTAGCTTCAGGCTCTTTAGCTGCACACTGTACCAATGCTTGGAAATCATTCTTATGCTCAATTTGTTCTGTCTTCCTTCAGGTGCTCAACGGCTTTTTTTTTTGATGTCTTAATCATTAGTCTACCCTAAACTTGTCTGAATCAATGGCTGTTTTAGTGAGATGTTTTCATTATGTTGGCTTTTTTTCGTTGTTTTCGGACACTGGAGTTGCTTGCTCATTTTTGCGGCTCTTGTTTGCTGTATTTTCTTTGAGCTTTTTCGTTTTTTATGCAGATTTCTCTGGTTTCCCTTCGCGGTGTGTGCATACTCTGAATTGCCCCAAACACGGATTAACGAGCTGTCCGTTGGTTCGTCCAATTATGTCAGCTCATAATTAGTATTTGTTCGTCTATTTTCCGCGTGTTCGTATTCTTTTCATAATAATATTTTGTCACTAATTTCTTTGTAACTGTCTCGTTTTCACCTCCTTATTTCAGCATATCACAATTGTTTTAGGCTTCGATTGTCATTTTGATGTAGGAATTTGTGTGGGTTAGGACGGATTTGTGGGGCGCGGCAGAGCTCATTGTTTTAAACTGCTTTAGCCGCTAGTCACAGTCACCTCTGAAATTAGATGTTCACCAGTGACGCGTGAAAATGGGATGATACATTAAGTTTTTGACAGATAGATTCACTCTCTAAATGAATAGTAGGGAGAAACGCACTTGATATCGATGCTTTTTTTACTTCATGACCTAACACCAAGCAAACAATAGTTACACACCTAAATCAGATGTAATTCATGAGGTTTATCAAGGAGTGAATATATTTTACAATGTTGTACCATATCTTTATGGATTTGTTTAAATCCGTTTCCTGTTAGTATTCTAATTGTAGAGAGGAGATATTACTCCGGCTCACATGTAATCGTTGTATGGTTCTAGTTTATATTTCATGGAAACTGATGATTCCCGATGAGTACGTGATAATTAATGTGTATATAATTTTTCATAATATCTAATGAGTAGTTACATAAAAATGGCAAATTAATCACCGTTTAGCTTCAGTTGGTTTGTTTACTGTAAACAGGGTTAGTTTAATCTCATTTGTTTTAGTATTTTTAAATTTGCTAATCTGAATTCATGAATATCATTCACTCTTTAGTCTGAACATTTGTAGTTGATAAGAAAGAATTTCGATCAATAATGCATTACATCCTAAAGCAATTCATGGTCATTGTTGAATGCACTTGAGCATATTTATTCTCTTTTTATGACAAAAACCCTCTTAATTTCGTGAATGGAAATTAAACTTGCATAGCTTAATATAATCATATTACAAGAATTGTACACTATTTTACTGCAATGTTTTACTGGAAATTAGTGGATTTTTACAATGTTTTATTTGCTCATCGAAGATAACGCATTTGTTTAGTGCGGTTACTGTCGACATTTGATATCTAACAAACTGTTTTAAATTTAGTCAATCTGAGTGTTTCATCTCCTTCTTCACATGTTATCGGAACCAACAATATCAATTCGGTTACCTTCTCTGACCGGAGATATATAAATATATATATGTATACAAAATTGTTCTCATAAAATGTTTATGCTTCAGGTTATGAACATTTATGAAAGGAGATATCAAAATTATTTATCGGTCGAAATAAATAAATGAATCTCTACTGGTGAATCAAATACATCGGTTGACACGCCTTTGTGATTCTAATGAGATAAGTATAAACAATAAACTATTATTTCGACAATTCTACATCAGGATAAATTTCGTCTTGAAAGAACTTACATTTTTTGGGAGATAATCGAGGTTTCCTAACAAATAAAACGTCAGATATTTTTGTTTCATAAAATCTTTTGAAGAAACATTATTAAATCAATTAATTGAATTGAACACTAGTTAGCACTGTTTTTCATATAACTTTGTTTTCTTACCATAAAAATAACAGTGACAAATTAACAAAACCAACCATATTTTATAGTCGACACTACCATTCCATTAACTGATCGAACAGACTAATCAGCTTTTGTTGAATGCATGCTTCATGATAGTCAAACATTAATTAAACGGATGGTAATCAGAATTTTGAAGTTTGAATCAAGTGAAACTATGACAAATTATTTGGTGATATTTGAAAAGATCTGTCCTACGTTTGCGTGGATAAGCCTGGAAGATTGGTCGTCCTAACTAGGAAACCAAGACATCCGTAATTAGCCTTCTGTGGGCAGTTTAACTGAGATAAATAAATCAATGGATCTGGCAAAATAGTATCTAAATCAGCGGAATTGTCCTTTAAGCCCATGGTATATTTTGATAGTATTTTGTCAGTTCTATATTAATATGAGGTTAATTAAAGAATGACGAAGCTAGTAGTTAATTTGTTATACGCCATATTTTCAAATCCTTACGCTAAATGAATCGGATTCTAAACTGACTATGTAGGGGAAAACATCTTCAATGTCCTACTTTTGTCGATAAATCCCTAAAGTGCACTGAGCATCATATTTCCAGTAAAAAATATGGATTCGTGTAATAATGTTCTCAGAAATGAAACACTTTGATTAAGACCATCAATTTTGATATTTAATGGTTTTGTTTTTCAAGTTTTTCAGCACCTGATTTGGATGTGACACATAATTATCTAACCTATACTTTGACCAGTGACGACCATAATACTACGAAATCAACATCGCACGGAAAGAAAGTGAATTGTGAGTTTAGTTGTGATCCCACAGAGGTGAAATTAGTCCAATCATTGCATAAGAAGTACACACGTTGCAAAGAAAAGGAGAGAGTAGATGACTTAGACTTCGAAGTATGACCGTATGATTTTCTTTTGAAATAAATGTTTCAATGATAAAAGTATATAATAAGAAACATAAACTGACCCGCATTTTGCTGTGCATTCTTGGAAACTCTCGAAGTTATTTCCATTTCTACTACATTCTCCTGGGCGACATTTTTCACATGTTGTCAAATTGCTAATAAAGAAGTAGTATGTATGATCACCGCAATAACCAAGCTCGAAAGGTTTTTCGCAGTTGCCTAAAATTATTCAAGCATATTTCAAACACTGATAGTTATGTAACCGTGATATATTAATAATAATAGTATTTAAAATATGCCATTTACACTATTATTATTATTATTCAATAAGAAATGAACATATAAAATTATATCAAGTGAAAGTACTCACGTTATTTTACCAATGACAACAAAATCAAATGCCACTTACTGAGAGTTCTTCAGTGAGTTTTGATTTTCCTGTCACACACTTTTCTCATCAGTAAATATGTGGTAAATGAATCATAGCGGAATTACTGCACTTATTCGCCCGAGCACACAGTCCATAGTTTCTTCTACTTCTACTGGATGAGATGAAAGGGGATAGTTGTGTATAGCAAAGATGTTCAGAGTCTGACAGGATACTATGTGATAATTTCTTCCAGGAGTACGTGCGTCTATCGACGAAAAGTATCAACGAGTTGGTTAAGCAACACCCCATATTCCAGTGATGTCTTCCGATGCCTTTCACATTATAACGCAGTAATTCTTAAGTAAATTAGACAATGAAAGATTAAAAATCTCCCACATAGGATGGCAAATTTAAGCGGGACAGATTTAGTTTCATATAACGAGTACGCAACCACAACCAGTCTATCAGCGGAATAAGTGATCTTGCTAAATACATTCACCACAACCATTCTGTTTACGCAAATTACCTGATTAATCAACTGGAAGTGGATGAAAATGAAGGGGTGAGCTCCATTTATCTAACGTAACAAATTAATAGCTGATCTAAATGCATTGCTTCAAACATACATACAATGTTTGAATAAAGACATCAGAATAAAAATCACTGATTGAAAATGGAAAACAAAGTTGAAATTTAGTCAGTAGTCCAAAATGGCCTCTTCTGTACATCAGAAAATGTTACAGCATTTCTAGAAACTTAGTGTGACTTCACCTCAGGAAGCTTGTGGTGTGCGAAAAATGCGTCTAATAGACACTGTGATTCAATTGAAACATCTTTTTATTCCTACAAATAATTATTTTCAATCTCCTTCCAGTCAAAAGAACCTATTTGACTACACTCTGCTTATTTGTAGTTATTGAAATGTAATCGGAGCCATCTAATTTGTGACAATATCCTCACAAAGCGAAGCAGGATGGTATTAAATAACCTGGAGAATAACAAATGGTTTTAGTAACATTGTCAAATTAATGCAACAAAAGTAATTATACCCGACAGCACTAATGTCGAATCTACAACCAATAAGCCGCTCTTCATGTTAGTACAGTTTGTCCATGGTACACTTATTTTATATCGAAATACAAATCTCTTGAGAGAACTGTCAATCTTCACTGATTGTATTTTTATTGATAGGTGATTACCAGTGTCACTTCATCTGAAATATCAGCTGCCTAGGTTAGTCAGCCATTTATTCACCTATTAATTCAACTGTGTATTTGGTTTAGGTTACATATCCCTTCGATGTAGAAATTTCCAGAACACAATTTTCGCCAAATGTTACCGATAGTGGAAGCCAATCGTCGGTTTTTATGTACACAAACGAGTCAGGAGGCGTCAGTCATCACTAAAACCTGACGATCTACACAGTATTCTAACTCTGAAATTTCAAAGCTTGATCGGATGAATGTAATCACTAGCGGTGAGGAGAATGAAATCTCCGATAATAAATCATCATAAGGTTTCTACCAATAACAACTCACTTCTATCGAATCTGCCACTGAAAAAAGGAAAAAGTAAATTATGAAACGGTATCAGGTGCTGCAAAATCTTTGGAAACTTTGAAAGATTACCAGTAAATGCAGAATATATTATTTCCAAGTAGTAGAGAACCAGTTTTACCGTTGAAAATGTGTGCCACTTTTAGTTTAAAACATGCAAAAAGGGTTAATAAAGCAGGATTTAATGAACGAATGATTTAAACTTCGTCATTTTGTACACTAATCACTTTGCATGATAATACACATATATTACTGATTTCATCTGTTTCAGAACACAAATGTGATTCAGCAAGACGGTAAAGATGTAGCCGTGTAAGTTTCAAAAAATGTCTGATGATAAATTTTAGTCTGGATACATTCCTTCAAAAAATCTCATCGTGCACAGTGTATAGTGATCCTTCACCTCAATTGCACTAGATCATTTAATGCTTTCCGGGAGAGGCTTCTTCAAGAAGTGCAAACATTTATTTCCCGATGCACATTGAAAACAAGAAATAAGGTCAAAAAAGCGTGATTTGTGGGGCCACGTCCAGTGAGAGCGAAGGCTGGTTGAAATCAAAGATGGTTGATATTGCTAATCAATTTCGAATCATGCCGACCAATCCTAAGTCGCATATCACCGAAGAACACTGGAGATTTCAAACAAGCTCCGAAAAGACAATAATCTTGTTAATTTACAACCTGATAAAGGACAAAGTGTAGTGCTGATGAACAAGATAAATTATCTCGAAAAAAATGCATCAAACTCTCTCTCTGATGAATCTAAATTTAAATAGGATAATCATGCAAAAGATCAAACGTTATCGATTGAAAGGAAAATTGTTCAGCATCTACGGCAACTCTTAAAACAGAGATATATTGACGAAAACACATATAGAAATACCAAACCGATTGGGTCACAAATCCCAAAACAAAATGGGCGCGTCAAAATACACATGCCAGAAGCGCTGTTAGGACCCTATCTCTCTATGATAAACTCACCATACCACAAATTAGCACAGTGGCTATGTGAACTATTGCAGCCCTTGCGGAATTGTTCCAGAACATATGTAGTCTCTGATTCATTTCAGTTTGTCAAGCGAATCAAAGATTTCAATGTACCTGACAAACATTTGGTCTTTTTCGATGTTAATTTCCTCTTCACAAATGTGCCAGTCATTGAGACTATCGACTTCATATGTAAAGAAGCTTATGACATACCCATTGCAACATCGGAATCAAGAAAGTTGTTACTCTTATGTACTAAAATGTCCAATTCTAATTCGACGGGCATCCATTCTGTAAAGTTGATGGTTTCGCAATGGGAAGCCCTTTTAGGACCACTTTTGGTTGACTTATTCTTGTCACGCCTAGAAAACGGTACCTTGTAGCAACATATACAAGAAACAGAACTATACCTAAGATACGTTGATGACAATTTTACTGTCTGTGAAAGCAGATCAAAAGTGGAAGACATCTTGAAAAATTTCAACTGATTACATCCTTATCTCAATTTCACAGTAGAATATGAGAAAAACGATTCTTTTAAATTCCAAGAAGTTTATCTAGCGAAAATGAATGATGGCATAATCGAAAGATCTATATTAAGAAAGTCTTCATCGACAGAACAGTATATGTATTTCAAGAGATTTGTTTCAATCAAGCATAAAAACAACTTGGTCAGAACACTGTTGAATAGAGCACGAAAACTTTGTTCTTACAGTACTATTGAGCATGAAATAAAATCTCTGAAGGATATATTTACTATGAAAAGATATCCTGAGAAGTTCATTGATAAACACTTTGAAGAAATTAACCCTTACAAAACAACCCAAACAGTTCCGAATAAACCTACATATATCAGTTTACCTGTCAAAGGAGATGATGCACAGGAAGTATTCAAACGAAGACTCGATGAAGCCATTAAGAGAACTTATTATGCTGCAAATATTTTCTCCTTAACATCACCAAGCAAGTGCTTCAATAACCTGGGAAGGACCAGTCGCTAATCCTCGCCACTCCAAACTGCGTATATCAATGTGAGTGTGTTTGTGGAAGCAAATACATACGTCGAATGGAAAGGCGATTGTCTACTCGCATTATAGAACATTGCCAAAATAGTTGAAAACACATGAGTGCAAATTGAAAAAATTCTCAATCACAAAATATATTTCGGATTAGGGACATGATATCGACATGGTCAAGTCATTCACTAATGTCAGCAGACAAAGAAACAAGAAGATGCTTGCAATTGCAGAGGCTTGTGCAATTCAAGTTTATAAACCAGGTGTCTGTTTACAAAACGAGATGGTCGTCACTCTGAATCTACCATGATAATACGTTTTACTTAGTATTCTTATTAGTCTACTTCTTATTATTATTCCTGATTCCTTTCAAACTATCCTTTATCAGTAGGATTATCTTCACTCACTTCAACACTATTATCATTATTGTTAATATAACTAGTATTATTGATATTAGCCTGTTTGCAATTCTTGATATATTTTTTAATGAATAATTGTTTTTCTAAGTGATGTGAATGACGCATGATGCATTTTCTCCTAATTTTCATCTCTCATACCCCTCTCCTCTTATCCATTCGAACATGACCCGGAAAACATTCGCAATCGTCTTTCTGCATGACTAATTCAATGTAGTTTATTTGCTTATCAGTCTTGTATCTCCCAATGTCGTTTCGAAAGTATATATATATATATATATATATATATATATATATATATATATATATATACGTATCTGTGTATGTAGAGTATTCAGCTGAGGAATAGTAATACCGAAATTTGATGATTTCATTTAATCCTGCGTTATTAATCTTTGTTGCCTGTTTTAAAATTCTTATCAGGAAATAAATGTTTTCAACTTTAAGTTTACATGAATAATGAAAGTCTCAGTTTCAGAGGCATCACCACACTGCATATACAAATTTTCGCACCATCATTTGAATATAATGAAATATCTGTTCTCACCAACCCTATTCCATGTCCACAGATTACACTTGGTATTACTAATTAAGTGTATAAGTTACTCTTGCATGCAATAGTCATATATTTTTTGAAGTGTATCAGCCTTGCTTGGTCATTTCACACTTATTTGCTACTGAAAGATAAGTCTTGAGGTTATTGTGACACCCTCTGACTGTCTCTTTGAGGGACATAATTCAACAAACTACGTGGAAACTATGTAGTCTCAGACAGACCGAATAAAAACAAACTTGTGATGTTTTAAAATATCGGCTTTACGTGATATGCAATTACCTTGAAATACACGTTTGTTCACATTCTGCTTCTGTATCAAAATTATTATCGTTTCCTCCAGCTCCCTTGTAGGTGAACTTCATGCATTGTCCAATAGTCGCATTATAAAAAAATTTCCTATTGAGTCAATACCATTCCCTTCATCTTTAGGATAGAAACACATTGCTGAAATGAAATAAACCAGAATGAAATAAACCGGAATAAATTTAAAAAAAACTGGGGCTTCCTAAGTAGGAATTTACTTAAATGTATCAAATTGTCCCATAATTGAATTATACTTTACCTTCGTACACATCTTGCCCTCTTACAACTGAAATTTGATATGTTAGTTAGTATTACACTGCGATGATACATACAATCAATTGATAATAAACACTCCTGAAAAATCAGTATAATCAAAATTATTCCGAACATATTATATTTCCAAAGTTGCCAGTTATTTCTTCCTTATACACATACATATATATATATATATATATTTCTCATGTGAAAACAGACAGCATTTAGTGTAGTTGTGGTAATTCAGTAGAATGATGAAGGGGTGCTTTAATTCTCGATAGAATTCAGACAATAATGTCACGTGTACGTGTGTGCAAATGAAGGTATAAGCATCAAGAATTGAATTTTCTTTCTCTCTGCAATCGTAATTTTGTTTGTCTTGTGATTTGATAGGTATCCTCTACAACTCAATTTCCTTTGTACATAAACCGTAAACGCATGTTACTTAAACTGGTTACCACAATATATTCAGCGTGTAGAAACTAAAATTTGACATTTTCGTAATACGAAGTTACCTCTTCTTTTTGTATTTACAGAAATTATTTGTATTTTTATATGCTTCATGATTATCAAACCTGAAATATAATATTAATTACAATCTGAGGTATGTTACTCATACCCTGAATTAATTGATTGTGGGTGATTTCAGTAACATTTGAATATGGTCGGAAATAAAGTCGCCTCAGAGGTCACACTTTACGAAACATTCAATGAAATATAAGTTAACTCTTTTACTTAAATTTGTAGCGTTTGGTTTCACAGAATATATAATTTAAATTTTTATCATAACAACTCAGTCACGAATGCATCTCCTAAGAAGGGAACTCGTATAATGATTGCACTTTTCAAATATACCGAGAATAAGCCAGAATAATAAAAATAATCTGTAATCAAAATTCTTACTTCGTAGATACACACAGGTTACCAGGAATAAAAAATAGATCAACGAAAACAGTAGGTGAAAATATGAAAATTCTGTTAAGAAAACAATATATCACCTGGTGCCAATCAATAATTTAATATTGATTATGTCAAAGATCAGCAAAGCCTTCAGCAGAGAAATATTAACTTCCCAATTAGGTTCTCATCTCTGACTATGTACGTCGGTAGCACAGTGGTTAGGACTCTCGCCGACCATGCACGTGGTCCGAGGTTCGAGCCTTGGCCGACGTACACATGATATCTATGGTCGGCCTGCGAAATTCGGCTACCGATATCCATGCTGAAAATTCCATACCTGTACCAAAAATACGGTGTGGAATCAAGCTGCAATCAAAAAAAAATAAATAAATAAAATAAAAAAATAAAATAAATACTCCAATATGTATACACAGACTTCTACATACAATACAAAACATTTGTTGATAATTGATGGTAATAATTAGTCAGTATTAACATGTCAAGATGAGGTGATAATTAACTAAGAAGATTAACAGAAACAATGGAAGGATAGAAATGATTGTGACAAATGGATTACATCATTCGCAATTTTAGAAATGTGAAAAGTAAACTACCAGCGAGTCTTCAAGCCGACGACGTAATAGAAAATTAAAGAGAAATTAAGTAATTTGGACAACTGTGATTTGCATATGAAGATGAAATAGCCGGAACGAATTTCAAACAAATCAGCTCTTCTTCTAAACAGCCACCGCTACAAATTCTTATGGTACGGTGGGCTGGCGAGACAATGAGAGCTTTTTCACATCCCATAGGTATCCAACTGTAGAGGTTTGTCAGTAAGCCATTCCATGTTGATTTTCTATGGATAGGTCTTTTCAGAGTTGCGTCATCTCTTTTTGTTTATTCGACCTTTAGGAATGAAATCTTTGTTTCATTTTCGACCTCCATTGTGAATTTAATTGAAGGATTGCAGTTATTGAACTCTTGTAAGATAAAATTTAAATCGGGGTCATTTTGACATTCTAGAAAAGTTTCACCAACGTATCTTTTGTATAGAAACAATTTGTCCATTGTTGATTTTAATATGCCGTTTTCCAGGCGGGCCATGAAGCAGTCTGCCAGAAGTGAGCCAAGGGGAGATCTCAGAGCAATCCCGTCTTTCTGTCTATAGATGACGTCGTTGAACTTAAATTGTACTTTGAGTGTGCATCTTAATAACAGCTCTTTCAGGTGTGAGGTCGGTATTCTGATACTCAGATTTTTTTATCCATATACTTGCAAAGGAAACAAATTGTTTCTGTGAGCGGCGCATTCCTAAATAGATATTCCATGTGCAGTGATAACATTCGTTTGCCATTTACACTCAAGTCTTTCATGCACTCAATAAATTCAAACGTATCACGTAGAGAGTACCTACAGAGTTTTCGTCTCCCAGGCTTCAGCATCTCGGACAACCATTTGGCAATCTGATGGTACGGTGATCCCTCCATGTCTTAAATTGGTCGAAGTGGTAGATCAGCACTGTGTACCTTTGAAAGAACGTGGAATCTAGGGATACTTGATCCTGCTGGTCTCAAACGTTTAAATAGGTCCTCAGTTATGAGAAAGTCATTCTTCATTCTCCTGAGAACATTTGTCAGTTGCTGTTCCATCTGTTCTGTCTTATTCTTCTCAATTTCTGGTTTTGAAAATTTATTATCACTAGAGATTAGACTTGTCAAATTATCGATATACACATCTGTGTCCATATGGACAACTCCCGAACCTTCGTCTGGATGTGTAATGATCAGGTCTTTGTTGTTTTTCAAGTCTCTAAGCTGCTGTTTGTTTTCTTTTGTCAGGAAGTGTCGGGCTTTCGTTTTTGAATTGAGGTATTGGGTGCAGCAGTCAGAAATTGTAGACTTGAAATGTTAGAGATCTGCATCAGAGACGGGTGTGACGTCTGTTGTTTGACTAATAAGATTTTCAAATTGAACATACGTGTGCAGTCTGTTACTATATAGAATTATATCACAAAATTTCAACCCTAAAGACAGGGCTTTTAGTTGTAAAGTAGACAAGTTGACGGAGGAGTGATTGAAAACAAATTTATGGGAGTCGATGGGGAACTGTCTTCGTACTTCAATGGATTTGAGGCTCCTGTTAAATTCGGATTTGACGTTCTCAGCTCTTCTGCTTTGCACCAAGATAACATATTCATAAAACGATTCTCTTTCACTGGATGATAGTTCGGAAAGAGCAAAAGACCTCTGTGATATATTTCTCTGTATCTCGAATAAACGCAAGCTAATAGAATCAAAAAGGTTCCTTGTGTGACGTTGGAGAGTTTTAGAATTGAGATAAATGTGATGTCTTCAGAGTGCCTTCACGAACCAGTTTGGATATCGATGATTCTTAATGTAGTCTTCATAGAAGTTCAATTTTCCATTCACTTCGGCGAGTTTGACAGAGTAACGTAGAAACCCATTGAGTTCCTTCACTGTCGTAAAGTCCTTGCATTTTTGTCAAATAGTAAAAAATACCCATTGGAACATTAGGTTGAAAAGAACAAGAAGTTCAGCAAAGATATCTGCCTTTTCGGCAATTTCATTCTCAAAAGCTGTACAATCCCATTTATATAGATTAGTTTACATGGATACAATTCTTATTTGTTTAATTCCATATATTAACGAAGGTGATAATAATTTTCAACTTGATATGAATTACAATAGGCTTTGAGACGCAGGGATAGAGTGAATTACAGGTGGGAACAAAATGAGCACGGAAACAAATTGAAATCGAAATTTACAACTTGAAATGTGAGTTAAGGGGTATGAATATAAATTACATGAATATATGATGAATATAGATTTATTGTTCTTAATCATAAGAATTATAGTCACAAGTCTTCAAAACTTGAGGTTTATAGTTTTCTTCATCCCTTCCTATTTGTCGTAGAGCTAGTAGAATTATACAGGTATCTTGGACAGGTGTGGAATCATTCCCATCACACATGTTGACAAATGATTCGACAAATAAAGCTTCCCTTATAAATCTCTTCCTCTACCCTGTTACATTAGTGTTAAAAATTGTTATCCTATCCCGTCTTATCGCATTGCTGTGTGAAATTGCATGAACTATCTTCCAGATTTCGTATCGTATCCGGATCAACAAATCTAGATATTGCTTAATTTTGGTGCTTTTTGGTCTGGCTAACCATGTTCTACTATTTTAACCTATGTATCCGACTTGAAAATCATTGTGGGGTACTAGATAAACTAAAAAGTTTTGTTTAGCTGGTTCCACAAAATTGATCCTCTCTCTAATAAACAAAGCTTGTTTCTGGATGAGCTTTTGGGTTTAGACACCACTTTTATTCCTGCATAGTCATGAATTTCGCTTAGGGTTACTTGTTTGTGGGGAAGTACTTCTGGTGATTGGGATTCGTTATTTTTGCTGTTGTCATTATGCAGCTCATGTTTTTCATGCGTGTTGAAATTAATATTATTCTTTTCACTATCACTACTATTATTATTCACTTTATTTTTAAATTTCCCTACATACTTCCTGATTGGTTTATCAGCGTGATTCCTAAGTCCTAAAGCTTCTCTCCTATGCCTCATTTCCTTTCTTGGATTTTTTGGTTCTACTTAGCTTTTGTGCTGTATTTCTTGAATATTTTAGCAATCCTATTTTTAATGACGTCGGATTTTGATGATCGGCAGGCTTCTAGCAAGCACTAGTGTTTAACTTCCCATCTTCTCTCATTTCTACGCTACAATCTAAAAATGAAAATTCCCCTTCCTGACTTCCCATTTCATAAGTGAATTGAACCGCCTCCAGCTTTGTGTTAATGTTTTCGAAAAATATATCTATCTCCTGTGTTCTCAGTACAGTGAATGTGTCATCTTCATACCTCCACCATACTTTTGGGGTGGGGGTGAACGTTTTAACTGTTATATTTTCGCACCTATCCATGAATATTGGTAATCCCATGGCAATTACTTCAGTTTGTTTGTATATTTTTCCCTATTATCTAATTCTAAATTAATAATTCTGTGTTTAAACTCATAATGTACATGGAAAAAAATAACACCCCGAATTACGCGAGCGTTTTAGTCAGTTAGACAAAAATAAGCACACAGACAAAAGTTAAGTCAAATTAGGCCAACAAATAAATGTTAAGGCAAATCAACAGACTTGTTACCATTAGAGTAGAAGTGGTTGAATAGTTTTATTTTGTATGCATAGTTCTGGTTATTCTGACTGAT